TTCGACCGCCTTGTTGACGATTGACTAATGTTGTTACGTGTTACCACCCTTCGGGCCACTAGCTATTTCTGCCTTTCTCGCATACTGTGAATACTGAGTGACTTTTGACTAAAAATGTTTGTGTTTTGTAGCCGCCACACTGACAGGTCGGAAGAGTGTGGAAATTGGGTCGTTTTGTGTTGATGCTTGTAAAAACGAATTGCAAGGAAGAAAGTGTGTATTGGGAAATGCTGCTGCAGCGGAGTGTTCAAAATCGTTGAAATTTCACCAATTCATTTCAAGCTTTTCACATGCCATGTTCCTTTTGTTTTGAAAAAAAATTGTTTTTAAATTTGTTAAATTAATATTGCTGCTTGTTTTATTTTTCTGCTTACTGATCTCATCGCTCTTGTTTACTTTTGTCTAATGTTAATGATTGTAAGGAATGTGCTGTTCATTTGAATTCGGTGCAGAATACAGAGTGAGTTTGAAGGATTTATTCGGTTTTGCTGAACTTATAGATTAGGATGCGTGTGTTTTGCCAGTGAGTTGTCCTTGCTTACACTGTATTATTACTCCCATATCAGCTTGACGGGAACAAATATTCCGTCCTGTACTATTTTACCACTTTTTCTTTTTCGGGTACTTCTTTCTTCCTTCCCTCTCTCTCTCTCTGTTTCCCTTCATGTGTAAGTGCATGTTAGACGGATGTTTTCTTAAATTTCGTAAAAACTTTCGTAAATTTTACTTCCATAAAAACAAGAGGCAAATTTATTTTCGTGAATTTGTTTCTTGGATCAAAACCATCAAATCCTTCGGATAAATAATTTGTGTGGCGAAAAAATACCAAAATACTGAAGGTTGAATAATACAACGTGCGGTGTTCGATGTTAACTTTCTGATTCGGGCTGCTCCATCGGTATTTTGTTACAGCTAAATGTTTTCGTTTGGATCAGTCATATATTTTAAGCGTACGGTTACTGGAATTAATTCTCAACAGTGTTCGCTCAATTTCTGTGTTTCAAGCGCATGAGTGTTGAGCAGCGGTTCGTAATATGTGTGTTGCTGTTGATGGTGCTTTGGCCTTTCAAAGTATTTTTTTTTTTGTAAATTTTGATGCGATTTCGATTACAACTGATATTACTGGTGTAGAACCGGTCTTGA